GACAGAGATTCCAATTAAGAATTAAAGTAGGGTCGACCATCCTATTTTTATGACTCTAACCTCTCGGCTATTCTCTACAAGAAGCCTAGTCTGAGGCCTAGAGACTGCTGGTCATCGGTGTCGCATGTGCCAGAACTCAACAAGCAGAATTGTCTATTGGAAAAAATTGAAAATAAGCCATAATTTAAACAAGCAAATTTTGGTAGCATATCATCTGATTTTAGCAGTCCTTCATAGTCATAGACTCAGTAGGAACTTAGATTTAATTCTATTCTATTCAACAAGCAGAAAGCTTTGGTCTATGTGTTGTGTCGGAAGCGGGCACTCGGGACGGCCGGTTTCTGCACAAGAATATTCCGAGTAGTCCTGGACACGCAGCTCCAGCCAGTCCGGACCGGACCGACTTGACTGGCCTTCAGCCTCGCGACAAAAGAAAGCAAACTGGCGCATTGCGGGTATGGTGGCGTCACGGCCAGGCTAGGCTCCGCATGAGGGATCCGCTGTCGCTGGCCAAGCATTGTGGAGTGGGAAAGTGGCAAATCTGCTACCCTCCCGCCGCCACTTCGACCCCACCTTGCGCAGGCCGTGCAGCAAACAACCCAAGCCAGCCTGCCAACCTGGTCCATAGACCCCATCCTGAGCCACTGCAGGCAGAATTACTCCAGATCCAGGCACTGAGAGCTTTCCTGGCCGACAAGGTAGTCACGCCGCCGAAACATGCGCGGCCATTTGTGGCTTGAATCGTGTGGCCGCCGTGATACCCACTCGCCTGGCCTTTCGATTGTGGGCGTTCGCCGCGCACCCGCATGTCTGAGTCCTGGCTGGTGCAGGGGTGGTGGAGGAAGTTTAGCTGCCACGATCAGAAGCGACAGGCTAGGCCATCAGTGTCAACTCTTTCCAAATTCATCCACGTCGTCTAATCGCCCGGCCTTTCGGGCTAAGTTTCATCACGTTACACTGTTCCAAAAATGACCGATGCATAGGAGCGAGTTCGCTTTTCGCTCCCAAACATTCCCTGCATGCTTTCGCGTGTAGCGACTCCATGCTGTGTTGGCTGGCGCTAATGGGGAGTTGACGGAACACAAAGGAGGAGCTCACGAGTCCACGACGCTTGATTCGTGTCGGGAGTGGAGCTGATGAATGCCTTTCTCCATACACCGCTCGCATACCTAGCTTTGAGTGCGCACGGAAAGCCCAAGGCTCCGATCATGGTATCTTTTGACGGTGCTCTGCGCGAAAAGATCATATCTTTTTCCGGGCAAAGCAACAACTATTGTGACATCTTACCCGCAAGACATGACCAGTAATTTACCGCTGCATCATGGGTGTCAAATAATTGTTGTTGCCAATACATTGTCTGACCCCGACCAACGTGCTATCATGGGTACAACAGGGACATGACATCTGTGATCAGTGTCCCCTATGAGTCTCTAGCTCTTACCGTAGAGTTTTCAGGGTAAAAATCGAGGACAACGCCAAAGATCAGGGCTTCTGTTGCCAAAGAATCTACCGCACTCTCTGTTGTCCAAGACGGCACGAAGATGCTATCCCAAGCTTGACTAGTTTACAGCCAAAACTCTCCTTTGATATGTTTCGGATATTTTCAACCGCTCCCCCATATATCCCGACCCGTGAATGAGGAATTGAGCCCATAGGAGTCTAGGAGGTGACGTAATATCAGAGTCATAGCCATCTTTGGCACGAGGGCAGAGAGAAATCACTTGCCATATCTAGTCTTTTACTGAGAGTGAACAATAGTTAACATCAACTATCCACTCGTAGTGGGCGATCAGAGGGACATTCAAATTATCTCCATCTACTTTAGATTTGCCCGATCAGCTTATCAATGCCAATACGGACGCCCCTAGTCACACACCAATGTCTTGAATTCAGTAGATTCGCACGATTTGCATTTAACGAATTTTTTTTGTCCACACTTGGTGGAATATTGAGCCTTTTCAATCTATTCCCAAATGATAGATATAGGTATTCTCTTGATTCAGAACTTGAGTCTCTACAGCTGAGGTAGCCTGGTAGCCCTCATTGACTTACCAACGACCCGAGCTGGATCCTTATGTGGAAATGAGCGAAGCCGACTTGCAAGGACAAGTTTGAAGCGTTCAGTGTCGAAATTTTACGCATTCCCAAATTAACTTCACGGCTCCTATGATCGAGATATTCGTATGCCCATTTTGGTGATAGAAAGAGGTTGCGATGCAAATCTGTGACCCATGGATCCGAAGCTAGCCTCCACCGACTAAGGGATGAAGGGAATCCCATGCTAAATCTGACCAGAATCTCTATTACAATTCTCTCACGGCAGCAAGCAACCCATTTTGATACAGGACCAGCCCTACCCTGGCTCAACTTTTTTAGATAAGGAGAGGCGCATGTCTGCGAATGATATGGACGATAGAGTTGCCTTGTGTTTGTGACTAGAGCTGCTAGAAAGTGGCTGTCAAGGCCATGGAGAGGCCAAAAGGCACACACCACAAACCTTATTTCCGTCTACAAGTTAGTCGAGTAGCTGTGCTCACCTTGGCGCCAATCGTTCCCTCTGACATCTGGAACTTTAAAATACGCGCGCAAGATTTCAAGGTGCGTTGGGCAAGTTGTGAGCTCTAGTGCTGAATAATAGTTTACCAATCATCGTGATACTCGAGTCTTTCTCTCGGCCTAAAGATGACAACATTGAGGCTCCTAGCGCAGATTCGACAGATGCTGACTTTATAAATCCATGGGTCGTGTTACTGGCCATGACTACGCGCATCTAGACGGCTTAAAATCACCCAGTCATACAATTGTATTTGATTCCTTGACAGGCAGGCTAGGATTAGTGCTATCAATATATTCGGGGTGGAAGGTAAATAGGTGGTATCGCCATATCGGGTATTCATACAGTCATCAAGCTAGATTCATTTGCGGGTTGCCTAGATGTATAGGTGAGAGAAGAGTCGCGTTCACTCACCTCTTAGGTCCCAGGATGCACTTACGCGTACTATTTACGTCATGAAGCGCATCTCGGCATTCATGGGCCTGATAGGGAGAGTTTTGAGCGAGCAGTGGTTCAGTCGTACAATATACTTACAATCCTGATCATTGGTAGCTGAGCAGTGACTAGATTATCACTACCCATAATTCCACCACTAGCTTTCCGACGTCGATCCATGGTCAGATGGTAATCTAGTCTCCGCATTTTTGAGGTACCTTTGAGGCGACAGTACCGAATAGGTCATGGTAGAGTACGAACCAAATCACTCTTTATTCGCACGTGAGTCCGGTCCTTGATGTTAGTTGGCTTCGACTAGCGTGCATAATAGCTACAAGTAGTCGTGAAACTGACATTAGGCCGTTGGCTGTAGAAATCTGGCATAAATTACGTCGAAGAAGCGCAGATTATTTCTGCTCTAGACCCATATTTATCTGTGGAACGTAAATAAGGTTAATTGGACGTGATATTGGCTCGCATATCATGCACCCAAGATTCCTATCCAGTGCTCAGCGAGGCTTCCGGTTCTGAACGATGCTGAGAGCTGTTCAATGCCAGGTTGGGAACTATCTCGTCCCATTTTATCTACTCTTGAATCCTCATGGCTTAGCTGAATGTAAATGGCCGAACAATAGTTCAAGGATTTTGGTACAGTACGAGGGATTGCCTCACCCCTTCGTTTTTGACGTAAATTTGTCCTGCTCTTGACCTGAAGGGTTGCTTTGGCCAAGACAATATTTCTAGTGCGCAATAAGTAGTTCTAGGCTAGCTGGAAAGGAAACTGCCTATGTGTGGAATCCCCATTCTTCCCGGGTGCCCCAATTCTTGAGGAAAGAAGTTCTCAAACAATTGTCTTTAATCGGGAGGCCTGCGGGCCATACCGAAACTTTTCGGGCTGATTGAAGCTAGGAATTTCTTGGCGCTTTCTATGCTTGGTATGTTGGGTGCCTTTTAGCGCATGTTTGCCAGTGATATGTGGCAGAAGGGTGAGGCGACTTGATAACCATTGTTCTCATCAAGTACCAGGGGGGATGTCATTGTGATGGTCATGATAGCTGCAAAGTAGACTGGATTCGACAAATATCGCACCTGATTGCATCGAGGTGCTAGAAGACTAATCCTTCCCTTAAACGCTACAGCCGGCCCCTTTTCCGTTTGATGTTTCACAGGGCTCTTTAAGCGGGACGATGGAAGTGCAATTCTCCTGCAGGAGAGAAACTACACTGTGGATTCTGTCTCTCGAGTCCATTGTGTGGGGGGAGGGGGGAGGGGAGGGACGAGGGCGCGAGTCCACTGACACGGGGCCCCTCTCTCACCTGGCATGCACGCTGAAGCCTTGTCGCGGCCAAGATGAGCTGTAGGGACAAAACGCACGACTATAGAAATGTTCAAGCGAGTACTGCCATTCAATTTCGGCCTCTGGGTCTTGTGGTACACAAGAGCGCGCTGCTCATGAGGCAAGCTGTTGTGCAGCTGTGAGGCGTGTGAGATAGGCCGGGTGCCCAATGGCTCTAGCGATGGATCTTATCGCCATTTACCAGTCGCATAACCTGAAGCCTTGAGAGGGCCCAACGCTCGTGGGTTGTCGATTTCAGATTGCCCCAAGGCCGTTACGGCGAGAAATTGGAATGGATGACGGGCGGGTAGAATTGTAACTGTCGTCTGGCACATCACAACTACGACGTGCGACGCACCAGGGTATGGACCGGGGGTCCTCCCTCGGTCCATAGGGAGGGGAAGAGGGGGTTCTATAAACAGTCTAAGCCTTAACATACGGGCGACTCATCTAGCTTCAGACGGAAGATACAAAAGGCAGCTGCAATAAGCGACTTCTCCTGTCGGTCCATCCTTTCATTTTGAATTTACCCTCCCCTACCCCCAATCCAAGACTCGCGCATATCAATTGCACTGAGAGCAGACGAGCCTCTAAAGAACGAACAGAGACTTCCTCCAATAACTCTCGCTCGCCCGCTCGCCCACTTGCTAAGCAACGTCGACGTTCATCGGCGCCATGACCGACAAGCCATCAGTTCTCATAATTGGTGGCTTGGGATATATCGGGCGCTTCCTCGCCCTCTACATCCACCAGAATGAGCTGGCGTCGGAAGTGCGCATAGTCGACAAAGCAGTACCGGAGATAGCCTGGCTCGCCCCTGAATTCCAAGAGGCCTGTTCAGAGCAAAAGTTTATGCAGGCCGATGCAAGCAGAGAGTGTACGTTGTGCTATCAAGCTTCATTGCACACTGCCTTGTTCAAGATTACTCACCTGCTTCTCTATCTTAGCCTCTCTTCCAAAAATCTTCAATCGTGCCAATGGACAGCAGTGGGATTACGTCTTTAATTGTGGCGGTGAGACCCGGCATTCTCAGGATGAAGAAATCTATCGTCTACGCTCACTGGACCTCAGTGTTGCTGTAGGAAAAGAGGCAGCCAAACGGGGCGTTAAGGCCTTCATCGAACTTAGTACCGGCATGGTCTACCATCCCAGCTCGCGCCCAAGCAAGGAGACTGATGAGCTCAAACCACGAAGCAAGATAGCTACATTCAAGCTGATGGCAGAGAGAGATTTAGCCAAGATTGACGGGTCAGTTTTTCCTTTGATTCAAGCCTACTACCTATCTCTGACCGTTACCCTTATTACAACGCCAATCTCCGGCCAGAAATAACTGGCACAGATCGCTTAAACCATTTTTCAAGTCAAGACAAAAATAGTAATATCTTAAGCTAACTATAGCAGATTGAATCTCATCATAGCCCGTCTCGCCGAGGTATATGGTGACTATGAGCCTCGATATTTTGCCACTGCTCTCTCCCTTGCACGAGTATATCAACACTTGAACCAAGAAATGAACTGGCTAGGAGCTAGAGATCTTAAGGTTAATACGGTCCATGTTACGGATACAGCTCGAGCCCTTTGGAAAATTGCCGACTGGTATGCTGCTCAAAATAAGCCAAGATGGAACGAGCAAACTATGGGCAAAATTCCAATCTTCAATATCGTGGACAAAGGCGAGACTACTCAAGGTATTATGGCGGACTTCATCTCGCAGATTTTTGGAATCAAGACAGTCTTCCAGGGGCAAGCGATCAACCTGTACGCGCGCCTCAATATGGATAACGTCGTGGATGATGTTAATCAGCTAGTGCTTGGCCCTTGGGCACATTTAATCGAAGCAGCAGGTATCACTAGACCCGGCCCCTTGACACCATTCATGGAAAAAGAACTTCTCAAGGATTCTGATTTGAGCATGGATGGGAGTAGATTGGAAGAGGTTGTTGGTTTTGTCTTTCTTGAGCCGCGCATCACTAAGGAGTTGGTTCAGTCTATGATTGAAAGTTATATCAAAGTCGGGTGGTGGCCAACAAAAAGATGATTATGTCACGCATCTCTTCTAGGTCTAAGTGGCATTGAAGAGGCATTATGACGACTAGGATACGCGAGGCACGAGTGATATCTCTTTCACCCTTCTTGTGTCTAGCCTTGCGTGGGAGTCATGCATGTATGAGTAACGATGGTGGCCCTCGAAACAATTCGGGCCGGTGGGTTTTCAGAAAGACGGGGCTTCTTTGATTGCCTTTACCCGTATCTTTATCTAATGGACAACAAGCTATCTTTGAATCTTCTCTGAATGCCAGGATAGGGCTTTTGAGCTAGACCTGACCTGAGCTATTTGAGTATGAGCTCCGGATCCCATGCCTCGCGTGCGCACAATTATTTATCGCCGCATTACAAACGATTCATGTACGAAACTAGTATCGGTAGGAGGTGGGGCCAAGTAGGAAAGACGCAGAGTGTAATACGAACGAGGTGATGCAGGTAAGGAGGGAGTTGAATTGCGCTTATGATCTGAGATTATCCTCACATCACTCAGCCCCTATTTTTGTCTCTGTCACTGAACATTGTTATTAATTTATCATGGTTATCTCATAATAGACTAGGCACTTCTGAGGCCTACTGTTTCATCAAATTGATCATTTCTTGGTGGGTAGATTTATCCTGGTGCGCTTCGCTCAGCGGTAGCACGCTTCTCAGATCTCCCACTATATCTTTTGCCTTGCCGAAATAGACATCTTGTAGCAAATTCCGCATCTTCAGTTCCATGTCCTCAACGAGCTTTCCAATGTTGGCAATGTGGGAAATATCATCTTCAACGGGGAGATCGGTCTCAATCTGCCGGGTCATATTTCCACTCAGATCCATTTCCCCCAGAGTTTCGTTGGCAGTGGAGAGGTGCAAGATGACGGAACTCGTAAGCTTATAATGGGCCGTACGTGCGCGGTCGACGGCTTCGAAAACATGGATCGAGTCCCACGCACCTTCACTCTTGCCCGTCGGCGACGCAACTATCACAGTGTTAGCAGCCACGATGTATGTACCAGGTCAGGCCGAATTATCAGCGGTCCATGGAAACGTCAAATAGAGTAGAAGAGACTCGACACATTATGGTTGTCGTAAAAAGTAAGAGAGAGCGAGAGACGTACCCTTTTTTAAGAGAACGACCCCCGCAAAGCCATCGTCAAGATTCCAGAAAAAAACACTGCTCACACCACCTTCGTAATAGAGCTCGCGATAAACGTCAAAAGCTTCATTGGCGCGGATTTCCATTTGTCGAAGACGCTCATTAGGAACGGCGCCCTCGCCGGCGCCATCGTTGTTGCCTAGCTCGTCGACACCACCAGGCCCACTGCCGCCGCGCGGACTCTCAAATGCTCCGGACCAAGGCGAGCGGTAGCTATCGCCATCGCGGTTGTAGTCACATAGCAGGTAGTCGCGGCCGGTAGTCTGACAGCGCGCGATGCTCAGCGGCTGGTCGACAGCTGAGAGGAGGTCCTCTGTTAATGCCGGCACAAGGTCAATAAGAGCGTTGAGATGGCTCGCCGTGTGCTTGGGGTCGAGGCGACGTAGTAGGTCGCTGCCGTCATGTCGGTCAGTAGGTAGGCGCGCGCGCCAAGTAGGAAAGGAGAGGCTTGCTTACAGCGCACTATCGAACTGGTCGACTTCGGCCATCGTGGTCAGAGGTTGAGCTTTATTTTACTTGTTCTATGAAATGGGAAACGTACACTTGCGTCGAACGGCTAAGATTGTTTGAGGCAGGACTGATTAATATGTGTGGGGGAATTGGAGAAGGTGTTATCCAGATAGCTTCCTGATACTGAACAAGAGCTTCGTCGTTGTAAACCAATCAGCTCGCTTAGAGACCAACTATATATTTCATCCATTGCGCACAACTGGGCACATTTGTCAGTCTTGTTATGTGAGTCATCCAGCCTGCACAATGCACGTCATACGGCGATATAACTATTATGCAGGCTCTGGATTAATTTAATGCAACGAGATAGCCGCATGGCAACCTGTGCGCCAAATGACACATCTATTCCTCATCGGCATAAAAGGCCGAGAGGGACGGCACAGGTTGGGGTTGCGTGCTCCTCAGTAGCCTCGTCCTCGGCTCGCGGGGTAAGGCGTGACACCGCGCGCAGCTATGATGACTGGACACGAGCCGCGAAGAGGGTCTGAGCTAGATCATACCGCATCCATGACCGAGCCAACTAAGACCCACAAACATGCGTTTCAAGCGCGTTGACGTACCCCAGATGGCCATCAGACTGGTTTCTGAGCTGTTCCCGGTTCGCAACGACTGCCTCCTCCTTTGACCACCACCGTGTCGCCTGCCGCACACCCGCAAATGGCCTTCTTTTCGTTGGATGGAGAGGGGAGGTAATGAAGGGCAAAGAGCTCCTCTAAATGTATGATTGAATGAGGACTTATGAGGGGTGGTACTATCTGAGGGGAGCTATATGGGAAGTATAAGAGGGGATATACTACAGGCATAATTATCTTTGACTTGTAGGCAGAGAGGACCAGTATGCCCGAATAAGTTGTACCTTAAGAAAGAACGATAATATAATTAATAAAGTTTGTCTATTTGTGTTTTGATTTTGATTTCATTTAACACGATTTGGCACTCTGTGAGCCCATGCAGGCGGCTATGAACCTATTTAAATATTTACATGAGGGGGAGAGCATTACGATAAAAACCCCCTCCCCCTTTTAATTTTTATTTTTTCATCTATAGTCCTTCGTTACCTATAGGAAGTGCAATTGGCCTTCAGTTCCAGACAGGACTAGCTAAAATTATACTGGACTTCGCCATCCTCTCCCTGCCCTCGTGTGCTGAAAAGAGACGACTGTAGTCCTGAACTTGACCCCGATGGTCCAAATACTTGTGGTGGTGAGTTTACCAGGAACTGTTTTGGCGGGCATCCTGTCCCTCTCTTGGATACCTCCGGCTTTTGGCCGGACACCAGTGTGAACCCTTGGTCGTCTGTAGATTTTGCCGTAGTAGTTGTTGTAGATACTACTATTGTTATTTTTCCTTTTCTGAATTCTACCATTTTCTCCATTAGTTCATACCGTGCCTGTTGAGCGCCGGTGTCAGGATTGCCTTCTGTATAATCTATGTGTGGAGATAACCAGAATCTAGTGTTCTATGATTATGGTCCGGCCTTTTGGTCGAGCGGTTGTGCACCTATCTCATGCATAATGTAGGATGGCACCCTTTAGCCTAAATATCACCTCTGAGGCCGATGTCTCCTCCCTGCTGTCTATATGCTGTTCTGACAGCTGGTCTTGTATTCCGCGAAGTTCTGATGCGCCCACCTCTGCCACGATTTATGGTCCCTGCCACAGTTGTAGCAAATCACCGACTTCCTCGGGCATTCCCTAGTCTGGTGAGTACCCGCGCACTCAACACATCCGCTCGCCTTGTTGCAAGAGGCTTGGGTATGCCCCCATTGACAGCAGTTGAAGCATTGCTTGATTTGCGCTTGGGGTGGCCAGAGCTGGGCCGTATATAGCATTGAGTTGTATACAATGTCGTTTCTTATCACTTCGTGTTGAGGTGCCTCTGTCGGCAGAATCGCAAAGATTGACCCCGGAATATGGCCTTTAGTTCCCATCTATCGGTGATCCTTTCTGTCGAAAATCAATCTCATCCTGTTGATTTTTAGTTCGGGGAACCGAACTTTTGTTTCTGCCACAATTTGATTTATAAATTCACCATTATTTGGACCTTTCCTCCTTATAAATGTCCTCAAGGGGATCCCCAAAATTTCAAAAGGATAATCCTGCTTTAGGACGCAGAACTTCTTTGGCTGCGCCATACTCAAGGCAGCGTCTTGCTGGTAGACCGACTGCGCAAAAACCTCCGTATCATTGCTCCGCAGCTTCCTTACTGCGTATGCCCCCTAAATGTGTATTTTCGCCTTGTCTAGGAGCCTTGACAACTCCATATTGTCTGCTCCTTGAATTATTATCCGTACTGCCGCTTTAGTCGCTAGTGGTGCGACGATTGAGGCATATGTTGGTCGCCCTCCCATTCCTTTTACTGCTGAAGCAGCCGTCTTGCACGATGGCTCCTCGAGATTCCTCGTAACTGCCTTCTCTAAGGCCAGCATCATTTCTTCCATTAGTGAAGCCTTCAGAATCGATTATAGCATCGTAGCGTGAGCTTTGAAGGCATCAAGTGCCTCACATATCTCGACCATCAGTGTCGCAGTTTTGTTAGTGCCTGCTATCACCAGTCTGTCTCTAAACTTGTTTAAATAAAGCCCTACTATCTTTAAAGTGTCCATATTAACACCTGTAGAGGTCGCGAGAGACTCAACAGCCGTTATTGCGGCGGTTCCGTTGTCTATTGGTGGTGATTGTGGCGCCTTGGGAATTTATTCTGCCATGAAATCCACCTTTTTGACTCTCCGACTTGTCATGCCGAAGTACAACGTAAAAAAATTGGGAACTCAGATGAGAAGGACTAATTAAGATGGAAACAATTATCGAAATGATGAAATAACTGTCATGGAACGTGGTGTCGCTTTTGACCAAATGATGATATTTTTTTAGTGTATTTGATGTTTTTTGTACTGCTTGAGATATAGATTATCTAGCACATTGGGCTCCTCTCTGACCCAGGCCACACCTTGTACAGTGCTCCTATCCTCTTTTGTTACTTGAAAGATCATTGATATATTCCCCTTGATGAATAGCCATTCAGATCAGTGTTTACCCGTGTCATTCGGCCACCTTTTCCACAGAACCCTCTACTCAAAAAAATAAAAATGGTAGCAATGGAAACTGCGTGCGCGGGAAAAAGTCTCAAAAAACCTGCAGCCCCAGCCAGGCGAGGCCTAGACACCGGGACTACATGAGATGCGCATATTCATCTATGTCTCCCTTCTTTGTAACAGTCGAGGCCGACTTGATCCAATCCACCAACTCCGTATCGGGTGCTGGGTACGCTCCGGAAACTCATCGGATGGCTTTTCCTCCATGATCAAGGGTTAGTGATGAGTAGGGCTCCGATCCTACCATCTGATTTGATCGTGCTTAAATTCATGATAATGGTGATAGGGAAATGTGTTGATAGATGAAGACGATATAGACCGCGTAAGCGAATGGGAATCCTCATCGAGGTTTGGATGAAAGTGTTACTTAAACTCAATTCTGAAGACTCTACAGTGAGAGCTGAAGGTCCCTAGGGGACACCACTGGCAGGTGTTGAGAATAGTTCCTCCTTCATAACTGTATCCACGTGTTAAAGGATGGCACTAGAACGGAAAGCTGTCCGCACGAGCGTTGTTTTGTTGTTTTGCTTTGTTTGTTCATTAACGTGCTAGGTGAAGTAACTACCGTCGCACTCCTACTGGAGCTTGAGCACGAGTGGGGTCGGACCGGATCAGGTTAACTACCGTGCAGTACAAATGCCTCGTCCCACCTAAATGACCGGAACCATGCCAAAATGTATCTATGTGTTGAGCTATGACGAATTCAGCAGCCCAGAATTGAAAACAAACAAAATTTTTCACGCGAAAACCCGCATTACAAGAGAAGAACTTAAACAATCTCCCTTTCATCGTTCCGCCTCAGCCACCACGCGCCTGAGCCTCGAATCCAATCCCCCTGTTCATGCCAAACCACCTAGGCTTTCGTTCGATCACCTCCGAGTTACAGGTATCCCTGCCATCCCCTGACTAGCCTCCGCGTATGTTCCGCTGCCCTGAACGTAATCCCTGAACAGCTGCCATCCATTTGATCCGAGCATCGTTTCGAGAGCTGGTGCCCTTCGCTTTCCGCTTTTCAGCCGCCATGTTGCCAGTGCTTTTCGACACTGAACAAGGTGACCGATTGATTTTTCCCTCCCACACTCGCAGTTAAGTGTAGCATCGATATGGTTAAAGCGGCGATGATATGCCGCAAAGTCCCCATGTCCAGTTCGAGCGGCGATTAAGCGGGCGTAGACCGCTCTCGGTAGCGCTAGCTCTGGCGGTTTCTTGCGCCGCATCTCGAGTTCAAGACCGGCGTAGTGTTTGGGGCGATTCGAGTGCCACCAGTCTGTCAACATCTGCCTAGCCAGTTCACGGGCTTTCCGTCCAGATGAGGCGAGGGTCATCACACCATGTGTCGTCCTAGAGTTGTCCGGCGAGTTAAGCTCTCTTCGAGCGAGTTCATCGGCGATTTCATTTCCTGCCAGCCAGCCCTTCGTGGCCCGGAATCCATCCTATTTTTACAGGCGCAGCTGATCTCGCGGCCAGTTTCACGAACTTTTGGATACGCCAGAATGATGAGCCCATTGTTCCCGTCAGTAAAGTTTAAACAGCCGCAGAATTGTCGAGCAGGAAATAGATGGCGCTGCGTCTTTGATCTCGATTGCTGGCAGTGATTGCTTCTAGAGCAGCCAAAGCTCCATGAACCTCTGCATCGTAGACCTCCGCATTGGTGATTTGCCTGAGCCGCTCTGCTCGATTGTCGTGCCTCTGCCACTGATAAATGTCACAAAGGCCCATGACACTCTGTCGGTGGACGCCCAAGAACCATCACTGTACACGCAGAGACAGTCGGGTGGGAGTGTCGGTAGCCACTCTCCTATAAACTAAGCAGCCTCTTTCTTGTTTGTCCAGCAAGGATTCGGCTGAGGGGGTACTGAAGGTCGGAGCGGTGGATGAAGCTCA